CTTAAAGCTTGGGAAGAGCCCTATGGAAGAGGTCTGGATTGGGGGACTTTTGATTCAGCTTTTGTCTAGGGCTGGGCTGTCTAACGCGCCCGTGTTATTGCAAGCTTCCATACGGACGGGAGCTTATGTTTGGTGCAGTCGATTAAATGTTGACAAGACGATTGGAATGTATTTATCTCTCACTAGTATATAAATACGACTGTGGGCCAAGGCGCAATAGGCGGGACCATTGTCTCGAAGGGTAGTCATCGAAAGCTTCGTATTAATTTCCTTATTTCGCGCTCGAAGTCTTCATCGTACAGGTGGAAACTTCTAGGTCCGGGTCCGGCCAGTTGGGAGTTGGTCTAGTCGACCGTGAATGGGGGTCTGCGTGAGTTGAGCCAAGCCCGCCTTTCACCGCCCTTTCGTGTGTAAAGCAAATTTAAATCATCCAAGGCTCGAGGCACAGAGAGAGCACCGGGGGAGGTGTGTACGAACGCGGGCGCATGTCACTTTATTATATTGACAGTCAAGAAGCGGCCGCTGTGGTCGCATAAGGAATTTATAGAGGTTCGATACAGGAAATGATGCGTAGGTGGTATTATGGGACGAGAAGTAGTGCTGCGTTGGCATACACAGAGCCAAACACAACTTCTATTTTATTGTATTTTAGCTCATTCGTTATTGTAGGTAATGAACGACTATTTGCTTCCGCTCAGTGTCGTGCCTGGCTTGTTGAGCGGGCCGAAATTGGCGAAGCGTGCTGTCCCATTATGCTTTCTTCTGTCAACTGGGGAGTAGGTGACAACAACAAAGGCTTTCCCTAGCCTTTGGGTGGCTGTAAAATTGGCGGGGATAAAGATATGCTTGACTGGCGAAAAAGCTTGCTGACAATGGGCCTGCTCAAGATTCCATTTCTTAAGACGGCCTACTCTGGGCCTCTTCCGCTGAGTATATTTGCGTAAAAAGATCGGCAGCCACAACTATCGAGCACAATGTGAAGTTGAGAAGCCGGGTGCTGAGAGACCTAGTAAGCGCGTGACCTGAGGAAACCCGAAACTCCTTTGCGCATCCATCGGTGCTGGTATTTGTACCATAACGGCTTGTGTGCTTTTGGAGAGGTGAATCGAACTTTCTATGCTCAGCTTCCCGACTGACCATGGAATGCCGATCCAGAATACTCCGATGTAGGCTCAGGCAACAGGTGATCATTGCGGGGTTTTGCCGGGTTGATATTTAAATTTGTAGCTTTCGAGAGTCTAAGGAAGAACTTGCTCAAGTGCTATGGTATGTGTCGCTTTCAGCTGTTTGTTTGAGTTTAACAACCATATTCGTCCAACGTACACTTCTACTTTCTGTTCTGAATGCATGTCATGGAAAGATGTCGTCGCCTATTGCGTTCTGTAGGCGTTGCCCCGGCATTTTGAGCCCAAAAGGCATGACCCCTGTAGCAGTAGGTTCCCGCACTCCGTGAAATGAATGCACCGTTTTCTCTTTGTTCGCGATATGCAACTCATTGGATCGGCTGGGTTGTAGCTCCGTATTCCAGCAAGAAATCGTCCAAGGGGGG